TTCAAAAAGCACACCACGCGAGTGTGAGGGAGTGCGCAAAATCCTGAGAGGAGAATGGAGGAGAAAGGACTGCAGTGTGGCCATCTCCCCCATGGGGGAGGAGGGTGTTAATATCTCACTTTCTCTCTCTCTCTTGCTGGCAAGGTCACAATCCTGTAACAAACAAACAAAAAGTGTACATGAATCACAGGAGGTGGGGGAAGTTCTTGTTAAAATGCAGATTCTGATTCAACAGGCCTCAGGTAGGACTGGAGACTGATGGGACTGCATAAGCTCTTGGGTAAGGCTGACAATGGATAAAGCCAGTCCGCAAAGCCATACTTTCTTTTCTTTTCTTTTTTTTTCTTTTTTCCCCCTTAGGTTTTAGCCATAGGATGTGTGAGACAGTAAGAAGGAAAGTAAGAAATCACCCTCCAGGGGATTTGGCCATGCCACAGTCCCTTCTCCTCCATTCTCCCCCTGGATTTTGGGTATAAACACACACGCACCAGCATGATTTTCAAGCCACTGGGTCCAGGACTCAAACCACGATTGGCCATGCAGGAGTCCAGCGGTGTAACCACAACACCTGCTGGTCCCTCAGAGGCAGACTTTGAGATGCAACATCTGGGCCACTGTGTCCCAAGTAAGCCTATAGTAATCCCCTCATGCGCTTGTTAAATATTCCAACTGCTCTCCTGGAAATCTTGGTTTATGTGTAGCCTAGGGCCTCGGAAGTGTGGGAAAACTAGAGTCTGCTCCACAGTAGAGGAAAACCAAGGACTGCCACAGCATGGGCTTAAGAAACATTGACTAGAAGGAGAGGAGGGGGCTCATTAGCACAGAAATGTTTAACAACCACTTCCATGTATTTTCACATTGTTACTTCTCCCACTGAAATGTAAATAACAATTTCATTCCTCATCACAGAGGAGTTCTGTGATCCCAGGGCCACCGCTGAGATGAGAACACAGGTGCTTTGGGTAGGCGATGAATGCCAAGGTCCTTTTGAATGCCAACATCATCCTAAATGCCAGCAGAAAATAATGTCAGTCACCAAGAAGTTGTTTCTTTAACTACTCAAGGCATTTTAACCAGCCTTTCTAAAAACCTGAAAAATAAACACCAAATAAGTATGCCAACCACAAACTCCCAACGACCAGACTCCAAGAATCTCCCTTTCTTTACACAACTTTTAAAACCAGCAACAGTAACAGCGGCCAAATCAGAAGTACAACACACCAATTTTCTGCTGTTGATAGGCCTGGAGAGACTCTTTAATTAGGCTGATAAGGTATGGCCACCAGGCATTTCCTTAGAAAAGATTATCAGGGTTCTGATCCAATCTCTTTCTTTTCCAGGGCCACAATAAGCCAGAAGACAAGGTCTTCTACAAGGTCACACTAATGGTGGCAAAGAAAGGACCCAGCTCATCAGGGACCAGCAGTTAGCGTAATGGCTATGTCACTGGACTCCCACGTAGTCGACCGCAGTTCGAGTCCCGGATTTGGTGGCTTAAACTCATGCCGGGTGCGTGTGCGTGCATGCCTAAGATCCGGATGGCCATCCCCCCTGGGGGGTGATTTCTCACACACCCTATAGCAAAACCTCTCCAAAAATAGAAAGGACTCAACTCAGAAAGTCTAGTCTTGCTGGCCTGTGCCTACAAACCAACGCTTGATTCCAGAGTATTCCAGCCTGGCCAACAAAACACAGGGAAAAAGGCAAGTGGGAAGGCAGACACACAGTCCTCGTTCCACGTGGCCTCTTAGGTCAACTAGAACTCACTTACTGCTTTCCCGTGGCTTCTTTCTTAATGTGGCAGGAAAGAAAAGGCACTTCAGGGTGCCCCACAGGTGACATGGTGGTTAAGGAGCTGGTGGACGGCAGTTCAAGTCTCACACCTGGCAGCTGGCTTGGTTTCTCACTTCCCCCCCCCCATCAAATTAAAAACAGTAACAATAAATAAAAAAGGAAAATAAAAAGGCACATCAGATTGTACAGTAGGATCAATCTGAGTTCACTCCTTCCGGTGAGCCAAATTTAAACACGTTAATTGTTGCAAATAACTACCTTTAGAATTATTAGGACAGAGAGTGATGGGTACTAACAGGATAACACAGAAGGTCTGGGCAATGAAGTCAAGTTCTGCGTAGCTGTGGCGTG